ATATATCTCTAAAACTAATTACGCTGGGGAACTGAAACTTAGCACTGATTGATATATTGCAAATGCATTGGGAAAGGGGGCGTGGCTCCTTCCATGCAAACTGAAGTTCTCATATAGCTTATGTCTGGAACTGCTTACGCTAACGTCCTGAAATTCTACACAGCTACATATGTTATCAATACCGTAGTTATGGCGAAAAGTGATAATTATTGGAAAGATAGGAGCAAGGCCAAACAAAAATCGCAAGATTTGAGAAATTCTATTGAGCGAAGCGGAGTAAATTCGTCAATTACTGCGAAGCATCTGAGTACCCTCGATGAGCGCATCATTGGCGTTATGACCACAGTTGCAGTTGTCGGTCAAACGGAAGTTGGCGAGCCACTGGTGTGTTAAAAACATTTGAATTTATAAAATGCTATAAATTCACATGCTATCAAAATGTTTTGTTGTTTGAACATATATGTTACAATTTATGCAATTTATAATTATCAAAGATACTGTTACACATTTCTTTAGTGAGCCTGAAAGGCTCCACAAACCTCTCTTCAGACTTCCGTAGACTCTCTCAAGGCTTTGCGCTTTTGGCGAAGGCTGTTCCTCATTGTTCTTTGCGATTCCATTGCAATAAGACGCGAAAGTCTTTGCAAACCACTCATGATTACGCTAAAGGAAATGAAATATAATAAAAATTTAGTCTGTTATTATTTTCGCTATTACAATTTTATATTTTTACTCAATATTTTTTTACTGAGCGCTTTATTTTGACCGATTATGTTAGCATTACTTTGGAATGTAAAATGTAAAGTAATGTATTGCTTCCATCACATATTTCATTCCATACGTCCTACAAAATTACAAAAGCGGATTTCACTCTTTGTAGCATAGTTCGGTGTGAAGGTGCAATCCTATCGATAAACTTATTTATGCGATTTGTGGTTGGAAAAGCAAACATTGGGTAGGGTTTAGTTATTTGCCCAATGATTTCGTACTATTGTGTCCGAATGGGTGACCCGATAGAAAAATTTTTTAAAAACACTTGTAGTCAAGGGTCTACTCTTTATTGTAAAGCCAAATTTTGTAATTTTCGGTCCCCAACACGGAAAGATGTTCTGCACAAATATACTGTTTATTTTGAGGGGTCAGGTGTGACTTTTTACTAAGTGTGAACTGTGCTCTTTCCAGTGGGTTGGATATTAAGACCCACTCCTCCGCCCACTAACCCAAAAACAGTGGGCAAATAACTAAACATTTCCCCAAACATTTGCTACGAAGAGTGAGCTCCGCTAATACATTTATGTATTTGGTTTGACTCTTAATTAAAAAAAAGTCATATATATGAGTATGAAATAAATATATATGTACATTAGAGTGGTCCAATTTTGTATGACAGAAAAATAATGTCATCGTAGAAAACGGGGCGCCCCCTCAGTTTTTCCTTTTGGTATTTTTGATATTTACAGCAATTTTCAATTTTCTAATGTAACTAATACAGGGTGCTCAAAGACCATACAAATTGAAATTCTCATATCGCTTTTCTCTGTAACCACTTATGCTGACTTCCAGAAAATTTGACACAGCAACATATGTTGTCAATACCACACTTTCGGCGAAGAGTGGTAGATTTTTTTACGAGTTTCGCTATAAACTGTCCTATCTACATACCTATTTGCATAAAATGATAGCCGTTTTCGTTGTTCGGAATAAACTCAAAAAACACTAAACAGAGTTCCGTCAAATTGTCGGAGGTTATCTTACATACATATGTATATGGCCCAATTACGACTATAGAACTCGATAGGTGGTGCTGGAGTAGAGTTATTTATAAAAATCGTATTTATTAACCGATTTCGTTCAAATTTTAAATGTGAGCTATGTACCTGTATGATGGAAAATTCTTTTGATTAAAATTTACCTGATTAGTGCCGCTGGAGTTCGGGTTGAAATTCATAACACGTATTCATTTTATGGTAAGCAAGGGTTTTGCAGAAAATGAACCCAATGGATGGCGCTGCAGAAGAAATGTATAGAAACCCCGTGTGGTTGGTCTGCTTTGGCACTATGTTTAAGTTATACGAATTTAGTTTTCAGATCTCTTAATGAAGGATGAGGTTAAGTTTTTCTGACGCCCTCATGCACGATCATGCGATCTTGCATCTACCCAGAAATCAGTTCATAAATTTTACCACGAATTGTAAAAGTGGTGAATTAACAAGGAAAGATCACCGTAGGTATATCAATTGCTTCATTTGAAAGGTACTTAAGAGATCACACGACTCATTTAGCAATGTACCGGAAAACTTTTCATCCTGTGGGACAGCGAGGATTCTTGGCCCTCCTATAACAGAAAACGCACTTCTGTGCTCTTGAGTTATAGCTATAAGAACTTTTATTGGCATACGCATCGCACCAATGTTGTAGTTGCAAGATCATACAAAAAGATTACGCATGCCTGGCAGAGATCTCACAGGTGGAAATAAGACCATCGGTAAAGCTCATGACACCGAAAGGGATTGGTATTCCATATGGTATCCCAGCGTTACTATTATTAGCCTATATGTGAGCAGGATACTGCGCCTTAGTGGTTTCAACTTAAATCAAATTTTGACTTTACAGACTAGTTTTGTTTTTAAACGCTCTTTTGCATAGGCCAACGCAAAAGCTCTTATTAGGCGCCGCGAAGTAAGCGGGCATTGGCTAGTTCTCAAATAAAAAAATAAATATTGGGGTCGATAGAGATGATTGAGCTGAACATAACGGTATATTTTTTTGCGGAAACAACAACTACAAAAGTTATTAAGGTCATAGTTCTAATTAAACAATTCTTTAAATCAAAATTTTTTGAAAACGAATGCATGGATTTTAAAAATTTTGATCTCATTTGACAGCAAATTTGATTCCCTTTAATATGATACAAATATAATCCTCCCTAAGTAGAATTCTCCTTTCTGTGTTGTCGCAGAAGATAAGCGGAATTCCTTTCTGCGTACATCAATTCGATTTTTGTGAAAACTAAACAAGGCATATATAAAGTATCCCAACAAGCATTTCAGTAAATGTTTTTAAAAATAACTTAAAGTAAGTTTGCTATAATAAGCGTTAAATAAGCATTTTTAATATTAAGCTTATTAAAAGTTTTTTTTTTTTTTCAAATAAACCTTTAATAAGTTTTGAGAGCGAATGTTTATAAATAACTTAAACTTATAAATGAAATGCAAATGCCAACGACATGAAGTAGTAGTAGTGAAGTGACGTGTTTACGTTTTTTAAAATATATTATTAAAAGAAAAAATGAAATAAAACCGATGCGGTACAAAAAAAATACAATCCAGCACCCGGATTCCAACATTCGCTACCGCTTAAACTCCAACGCCAAAAAGTGCTAAAAGAATTTTAGCAATTTTCAGCGATTTTCGCGATTCTATCATGAAAATGCCACTCTAAAAATCGGCATTTTTGGTTAATTTTTTTTTTACAGATTTTAGCGATGAACAAAATGAACCCGGATAAAGTGAGTGAACTGTTTTTGATAGCTCATACAGCTAAAATGGCGATTCCAGCGTTTTTTCCATCGCTAAAATTACTTTTTTTTCGCTTAAAAGCCTGCAAATTTGACGACGACAAAAATTCGGTGCTAAAAGAGTAAATCAACAAAAAGTAGGTAATATTTAGATTGTTGTTTGTTTAAAATACTCGATTAAATAACAATTTTTGTAATTCATAGTAAAAATGGAAAACGGCAACAGTAGAAGGGTGACAAAGGAGCAAAAATATATGCTTGTTCAATACTTGGAAGAACACAGGGAATTTGCTCATGACAGGTATGGAAAAGATTTTCTCGTAAATGAAATCGTTTAAGTTCTTTTTTTTAAGATTCGTGAATGACACCGGGTGCAAAAGTTTGCTGGAGCAGTGGAACCATCTTGCCCAGAAACTAAACGCTCGTGGAGGAGCCATTAAAGACGGTGAAGGATGGAAAAGAGCGTGGGGAAATATGAGGTACATTTCTTTGATAATTTACATAAGTAGCATTACGATTCTTAAAATTGTTTCCGGATAACNTATGGAAAAGATTTTCTCGTAAATGAAATCGTTTAAGTTCTTTTTTTTAAGATTCGTGAATGACACCGGGTGCAAAAGTTTGCTGGAGCAGTGGAACCATCTTGCCCAGAAACTAAACGCTCGTGGAGGAGCCATTAAAGACGGTGAAGGATGGAAAAGAGCGTGGGGAAATATGAGGTACATTTCTTTGATAATTTACATAAGTAGCATTACGATTCTTAAAATTGTTTCCGGATAACGATAGGAGCAAGGCCAAACAAAAATCGCAAGATTTGAGAAATTCTATTGAGCGAAGCGGAGTAAATTCGTCAATTACTGCGAAGCATCTGAGTACCCTCGATGAGCGCATCATTGGCGTTATGACCACAGTTGCAGTTGTCGGTCAAACGGAAGTTGGCGAGCCACTGGTGTGTTAAAAACATTTGAATTTATAAAATGCTATAAATTCACATGCTATCAAAATGTTTTGTTGTTTGAACATATATGTTACAATTTATGCAATTTATAATTATCAAAGATACTGTTACACATTTCTTTAGTGAGCCTGAAAGGCTCCACAAACCTCTCTTCAGACTTCCGTAGACTCTCTCAAGGCTTTGCGCTTTTGGCGAAGGCTGTTCCTCATTGTTCTTTGCGATTCCATTGCAATAAGACGCGAAAGTCTTTGCAAACCACTCATGATTACGCTAAAGGAAATGAAATATAATAAAAATTTAGTCTGTTATTATTTTCGCTATTACAATTTTATATTTTTACTCAATATTTTTTTACTGAGCGCTTTATTTTGACCGATTATGTTAGCATTACTTTGGAATGTAAAATGTAAAGTAATGTATTGCTTCCATCACATATTTCATTCCATACGTCCTACAAAATTACAAAAGCGGATTTCACTCTTTGTAGCATAGTTCGGTGTGAAGGTGCAATCCTATCGATAAACTTATTTATGCGATTTGTGGTTGGAAAAGCAAACATTGGGTAGGGTTTAGTTATTTGCCCAATGATTTCGTACTATTGTGTCCGAATGGGTGACCCGATAGAAAAATTTTTTAAAAACACTTGTAGTCAAGGGTCTACTCTTTATTGTAAAGCCAAATTTTGTAATTTTCGGTCCCCAACACGGAAAGATGTTCTGCACAAATATACTGTTTATTTTGAGGGGTCAGGTGTGACTTTTTACTAAGTGTGAACTGTGCTCTTTCCAGTGGGTTGGATATTAAGACCCACTCCTCCGCCCACTAACCCAAAAACAGTGGGCAAATAACTAAACATTTCCCCAAACATTTGCTACGAAGAGTGAGCTCCGCTAATACATTTATGTATTTGGTTTGACTCTTAATTAAAAAAAAGTCATATATATGAGTATGAAATAAATATATATGTACATTAGAGTGGTCCAATTTTGTATGACAGAAAAATAATGTCATCGTAGAAAACGGGGCGCCCCCTCAGTTTTTCCTTTTGGTATTTTTGATATTTACAGCAATTTTCAATTTTCTAATGTAACTAATACAGGGTGCTCAAAGACCATACAAATTGAAATTCTCATATCGCTTTTCTCTGTAACCACTTATGCTGACTTCCAGAAAATTTGACACAGCAACATATGTTGTCAATACCACACTTTCGGCGAAGAGTGGTAGATTTTGGAAAGGGGGGTGTGGCACCGCCCATACAAACTGAAATTCTCATATCGCTTTTCTCTGGAACCACTTATGCTAACGTCCAGAAAATTGACACAGCAACATATGTTGTCAATACCGTACTTAAAGCGAAGAGTGGTAGATTTTGGAAAAGGGGGCGTGGCACCGCCCATACAAACTGAAATTCTTATATCGCTTATCTCTGGAACCACTTATTATAAGTTAACAGAATTTTATACACTTATAAAATTGCAAGAATCATTCAGTTGGGAACCATTTTCTCCCAAATTTTAATGATTGTCATTTTGTGCAAAAGTTTTTAGAAAGATCAGTGTGTTTGTCTTCCGATAAGTGGCGCAGGAATTTAGATCTATCCCAAAGGATGATATTTATGATCAGAAATGTTTCACTTATAGAACACATATTAGTAACATAAAATATCGTATAACCTGGTAGCCCGGTCGTGTGATAAAAAAATAGTAAAACCGCCGTTAGGGAAGGAAATATTATCTTTTGTTTTAAACCTTCAAGATACTTTCTCAACCGTTAACGATTCTGATGAAAAAAAGATAGAGTATGTAGATGTGGGCAATTTAGTTTTTAACCTGCAAGAGGCTCTCAGACAAATATAATCGAAAAACTTATTTACAGTCCGAATTGGTATATGTTTGACATATTATACCAATATATATATCTTTACATACAAATACATATGCATATTTTTTATACATGAAAATCGAGCTTGCTTTTTCGGTCTAATTTCAAAAGCTGCTGAAGAAATTTGGAGTAGACTTGGTAGAATTACCATTAACCAATCCGGTATTAACGTTCGTTTGTAAGTTTTCCTGTAAATTCGATATAAACTATGCTGGTGGACTTCAAAATAGTAATTCGCTTAAAGGAGTTAGTATTGGTGACAGGTAAGATTANTTGGAGTAGACTTGGTAGAATTACCATTAACCAATCCGGTATTAACGTTCGTTTGTAAGTTTTCCTGTAAATTCGATATAAACTATGCTGGTGGACTTCAAAATAGTAATTCGCTTAAAGGAGTTAGTATTGGTGACAGGTAAGATTAAAAAGTGTATGAAAAAAGATGTCGAATTTCGACAACTGGGCGATACTAGTTTTGGATAATTGCTTAAGAGTGAAAACCGCAACAGGCAATAAAATGTTTGGAAATATAAGTAAATTCATATTAAATATTATCCTTGCCGCACCGACATGCTTTGTTGAGCGCGTTTTTCCGTAATGAATTAAACAAAAACTAAGATTCGAAATAGGATGAGGTTGGAAAGCATTAATTCAATAATTCGAATAAAGTGTTATATGTAGGCTAATAGTTTCTGCTGCAAAACGTTTCCAATATCAAACAGTATGTTATCAAGGTTGAATAGCTCAATATATGGCAACAACAAATTGTGGAAATAGCTGATATACCCTTACTATAGGTTTTTATTTTATTTTTAGCGCCGAGCTCTTAAAAGGGGATTGTGCGATTGATCCATTAATAAAAGTTATAATAAATTTAATAATTGCGCAATCCTATTGCAAAATGTGTTGAAACAAATATTTTAAAAAAGTTTGCGTATTTTTAAAGAAATTGTTTGTACATCACTATTATATAAGTGATTTGTGTTATTTATTATTACCCTCTGAAGGTGTTATATTCGTTTTTTGTTTTAAAAACTATATTATAACAAGATCTCATTTTTGAAATAAAAGATTTGTTAAATCGATTTCATAAATTTTATTTAAAAAAATTGGCGATTTTTGGCGATTTTTTTTTCAGAAATTGCGAATTTTTTTTAAACACTCTGGACACCCTGGAAGTTATGCGAAGCACGCTTGCTTCATTTATATATACATACATATATTGCTTGGTAGCGGCAGAGCTGAAATGCGCAATAAGTTCGTTCATGCATACATATATATGTATACATACATACGTGCATTCAAACATACATATATACATATGTAGGTACTCGTACCCGTCCTGCGTCGCTTCATTTCTTTTTTCCCCTTTCCTATACTACCTATATCTTCCTTCTTACTCATGTAACGTTTTCAGTTTTACAAATTTCACTCTCCATTTTTGCGATACCGCCGCCTAAGAAGTTTCACTTCAAAAAATTGCCAGTATTTCGTGTGTGTGCCCAAGGAATTTTGACAACTTATACTTCACTAGCCTGTTGCCTCGCATACACGGGCATATATTTCTGTTGCAAGCATGGATTGCCTTGTACTCTTTTTTCACAAAAAAGTTAAAAAACCGTAGTAGTAGTTCTTAAGAACTGCGTACTGTCTGCAGGAAATTTGACTCAAGATAATTTCTTAGCGATTTCTTGTACTTGCAAACCTCCGAGTGTACTTCTGCCATGAAATCGCTTCTCATAAAAACCATTTGCCGTTCGGAGGTGACCTAGAACTTTAGGTCCCTTCATTTGCGTGACACGATCAACACACACATTATGGATAACATGATGCCAAACTCGTTTTTAGCATGCATTCAAAAAACTAGCGAAAGGGCAGATAACTATTATAGGAGTATGTGTTGAAAGCCTGAAAGAATGTGTAATAGTTTTCAAATTTAGCAACTGTTAGGCCCGATTTCAGATGGCCTACTTAAGTAGAGATTGTTGATTAATTTACATTTTTCATTTTCTGATCATACATTTAGTCTGTACTTAAATGGCCAATTTTGCTATTTAAATATGAGATATGCAACCCTGTGTTTATACCAAACAACCAAGATTGATTGGTAGGTTATTTAATCAATCCCACCAAATCCCACCTAAAACAATCAGCTGTTTAGCAGAAAATGTAAACAAACAAGCAAATGCAACAACAATTTCAAGGAATAAGCAGCAGTGCTGCCAATTGTTTGACATATTTAAACAAAGTTGATCTGAAACCCAACGAAAGCTAAATGGCATTTAAACAACAATCGACAATCAAACTTAAGTGCCGTTTAAATATTCATTTGAAATTGGCCCTTAGACTATAACATCCTTACTTTACTCAGCCTTAGAGAGCCCTTACTTACTCAGTTCCTTACTTTTTATTTCTATAACCAATTTAAGTAGGATGTAACAAACAGTAACTCCAAGCATTTTCGTTTTAATAAGACCCGTTAAATAAGTTGCTTAATTTTAACGGTATTTGTTAAACTTTTTGAAAGATTTTGTTAAACTTTATTTTTGGGCGCGGCAACACTGGTCGTGCCCGCAAACGTTCAAATAAACCCGTCAATCACCACTTTGTAT